TGTAAAGCAACCACAGCGAGGGGACTTTGTTCATTTCAGTGGTAGTGAAACTAGTCCAAAATTGCTGGCTAAAATAGGATTGACAATATTTAAGTTCATGGTGGGGAACATTTCAAGATGCATTTCAAATGCAAGATAATGGAGCATAAAAGATGGAGGAAAAAAGTTGGAAAGAACGTTTGAGAAGGTGCCAGGGTTTCTAATGCAAACAGAAAACAAGATTTCTTCAATAATTGTGGCTGAATTGCGGACAAGGCATGGAAAATAATGGAAAAGTGAAAATGGACCTTTATTAATTGCAGGAATTTGGAGTACACCTATTTTAAGAAAAATTTGCTGGATCAATATAAACACTCAAGTATTACGTTATGCCTGCTATTGTGGGGGGAGAGCGGGGGGGGAAGAGGTTGGTCACGCGATAACCAGATATGGGACATGGGACAAGATGTGTATGGGACAAGATATGCTTTAGCTTCATAGCCAAACATAGGGGTTGTCTGCAGAGGGAGTGCCTGCTCTGATAATATATGCACTTGTTTCACATCAAATACCCAAACTGCTTTCATAAATGACTGTCCAGGCTGCATGAACCTTGGTCCTTGTCGAGCTGGTCTGGCAACATTCTCTTGTGTTGCAGTAGTAATCCTTCAGGTTTGTCTGCCATTTTCGTGAACACTCCTTTTAAGAATGCATTCTGTTCTGCATCTTCACTGTCCTTTTCTTTTGCATTGGAGTCTGCCCAGTGCATCAAATCCATTACAGTGTTGTACGACTGATGGATAGAAACAGAACATCTCAAAAGATTTAATGATTTTCATCAATGATTTGGCATTCCGAGCAATTACTATGTGAAGTGGCAAGGTTATGTCATTTAAAAGTAAGATCAGTGTGTCCATTACCTGAATGTCAGGTGAAATCTCCATTTCACTTTCAATGAACTCAAGGTAATCACATGTTCAGCATGGTAAGAACTGCTTAACTGCTTCAAACCGTGAATTTCACCGAGTCACGACTAGTTCTGGACACAAGCATTTGGTCAGGATTAAGCTTTTTTTTTCCTGCAAAGAAAGCCCTGAAACACAGTTTGTGAGCTGGGCAATGTTTAAACACTTTCTTCATTGGAGCAATGACTGTCAATTTTAGAAAAAATGAACATGCTGCTGATTGCTAGTCAGACTTACAATATATGCATTGCACATTACATGCACCATATTAGGAAGCAGGCCCTGTTGAACCTGAGTATATGCTCAAGTACAGTATGTTGCACTGTCTGTTACTATCCCAGACACCTTAAAGTCTAATCAAAATTTGTCAGGCAGTTTGGTGACAGCTTGTGACAAAGGTGAATAATTTACCAGATTAAGAACAGAACTGTCCAAAAGAAATGATTGTAGCTTTTCTGAGCCATTCATTTGGGGTACAGCAATGATATGCAGTACATAATTATCTTTGTCATCTGTTGACTCATCAAACGGTGCACATAGAATCAGCTTTTTTCATATGCTCTTTCAGCTCCTTTCTCTGTACTTCAAACATCTTGGGTAAGTAATCTTGGTGGTGCTTATTAGCAGAAGGAAGAGAACCCGTGTTTGGAATTTGTTTCTGAAAAAACTCCCTTAAGACTGGGCTATCCAGTTTCTCCACTGGTATAGGTATATTTGCACTTGAGAATGCCTCGACAAGTTCAATATATGCCACATTTTGAGCATCACGACTCTTGGTACTGCCATTAAAAAGATATGGCAGTTGTCTGAGGTTTTGCTTTTGATGTCAGATCTGCCTCTACTTTGTGATGGGCATTATGATGCCGATCAGAATTTAAGAGCATCAGTATTTGACTCACATGTGTGATCTAATGTGATGTTGCAACTTTCCTCCATCAGCATAGCATTGCTTGGGATGCTGCTCTGCACAATCAAAGGCACTGATTTTATTTATTTTTGCAGTTTGAGTCTTGGGATTTGCCATTTGCTTAAACTCATGGAAGTACTGTACTGTGTGTAAACAACTGTTTGTCTCCTAGCAACGTAAGTATCACAAGATCGGATGAGTTCGTTCAATTTTGACAAATACATACAGTACACCCTTGCTATAACAAACGTCTAGGAATATAAGCCATTTGTTCAGTATACTCAGTGGTTAGTTATAGCAAAAAGGGAGGGGGCCACAGCCCCAGAGCCAGAGGATCTCTCAGCTCCCCACTGCATTTGATCTCTAATGTTGAATTGAGCCAAATAAGCCTCTCAAGGACTTTTTCCTCTCAAAGCTAGTGGTCTTTTGCATCATTTGGGATGGGACAGCCAAACCTCTCTTCTCAACTACAAACAGGGTACAAAAACTGTTGTAAATGTCTGCTCTTACCCAAGTCCTCCGGCTGACTCAGTTCCTCATCCAAGAGGTTGCCTTCCACTATGATCTGTGATACTTTGATCTCCTTAAGGAGCTGAATTTTCAGCTCCTTAAGTCCTTGCTGCAGCTCATCTATTAGCAAGTTCTAAGTTGGCAAAAGGTTGCTTGGTCTCTGTTTTGTGGAAAATGTTCTGGACTATGGAACTCATATTGTTGGTCACCTCCATCTGTTTTACTATTCCAGCCTGGTTGTGTTGCTGGATTTCCAAATCTGTCCTATCACTTTGTAGTTGCTGCTCCAACAGGGATCTCATCTCAGCCTGCAAGTCAGAGTCCTTTCTGCGAAACTTTCAGCTTGTTGTAGGTAATCTTAATTACTTTTGCAAAGTCTTGAGCTCCTCATTTAAACCTTGGTTGAATGTTTTTGATATTTACAAGCATTTCTAATTGGTTTCATCTTGGTTCAACAGGAATACTGTACTCAGTCTTGCTCCCTGGAAACTCGAACCCCACTTCTCTCACAGTGTTGTCCCTTTCTAACTAAGTGGCTAACCAAAAATTCGGGCATTGGGGATGTTCCAGTTGGGAGTAGAGGTTGATGGAGTCTGGTATTTTCTTTGATGCAATCTTGTTTATTGAACTGTACAAAGAACTGTACAAAATGCTACTTCTCCAAATGTTCTTTGTTCCTTCCATAAAAGGAACAGTTTCTTAGACCCAAGCCTTTTTAGCCAACAGACCCAAAAGCTTTCTAGCTTTTCCCAGGGTCACACTGTGCATACAGGCTTTCTTGCCTCTAGCTCTCTGTTCTTTTCTGTCCTGTGTGTTCTGTCTTGACGTTCATCTATACAGGCACACACAAATACTAAATATGCAGCAGCAGCCCTCTGCCCACTCAGTCCAAACTCCCGGACAGTTTCACATAGGCCACTGCCTAGGACAAAGGGGTTATGATTAATGTAGTCTGACAGTTATGTTAATTGAAGGCTGAGTTCACACTATCAGTCTCATGAAGCTTTAACTCTACCCATAAAGAGGTTTCACCCAGCTTTAGCAGTATGTTAAGCTCTAGAGATCTTCTCTTCACATCTGTCTAAAGCAACAAGTATGAGGCTAGTACTACACAATTAGTAATGGAGGGAAAAAAAAGGCAATGACGTGATAGTGCTTCACAGACAGCCCTTTATTCTGTTAAAAGTCCCTATAATGTCTACACTAATCGCAACAGGTAAGCACTGCACCTGCACCACTGTAGTGAAAATATTTACTACAGTGACAGAAGAGGTTTTCTGTTGCTGTAGTAAATCCACCCCATTCACAGGCTGTAGCTAGGTTGAGGGAAGAATTCTTCTGTCGACCTACTGATATCTACACCAGGCTTATGTTGGCTTAACTACATTTTAGAGGCATGAATTTCACACACTTTTGAATGGTGTTGCTAGACTGACCTACGTTCTGAGCGTAGACCAGGGCTACAAGACTTTGGTGCTCCTAGTGTCTTAAGTTACTAAAACAAAGTTTTAACTCAGAACACTTTACTCATGGTAATAGACTATTCAGATTCTTTCTGGTTCTCATGCACTAACTCGTAATGTGAGCTGCAAAACATCAAACCTTTACGATTCTATGAAAGGAGAAACAGGAATAGTCATAGTTTGTCTGTATGTAACTGAAACACACGGTAATTCCTACCACCTTAAATGTGGTGTGCAGCTCATTTCTTACATTACTTACTCTGCCAAAGCAAGTGACAACTCAGCTTCAAAATTAATCTAAGTTTTGTTTATGGGAATTGTCAGTTTCTCTGGTGCTAAGTAACACAACTGTCCAATTGCTTCTATTTGTCAAACTTGTAAGAAGGTAACTTAATAGCGATATTTACATTTTTAAATAGGCAAGCACTTCTTCCTTTGGAATCTTTTGAACAGGTTTTTTAAATGGTTAATGATGCCATGTAGCTCACCAATTTTCAATTAAACCACCCCATTATGAAGACCAATTCTAACATGTTCATGGAATCTTGAAACACACATTACATTCTCCTTGGTTTTCCAAGTAATTAAAATCACGACAGATTATGCAGAGAAACTAGAGAAAGGCCTTAGAGAAAGATCTGGATGACTATGCAAAGGGAGAAAAGCAAAAAACTATTTTAGTTCAGATTCTGTGCTTAGATCTATTTATGCAGCACCCATTGACTTTACGTGAGAGCTGCTTTTGTGTATTTGCAGATAGAATGTCACCAAGTTACCTGCTCTGTTCACATGCTTCTGCACAGGCTGCCTTGCACCTCCTTGAAACAAAATCCAACATGCCTATTTATGTCACAAGGAAGGACTGGCGAGACAGCAGGGAATGTTGTCAGTTAAGATCAGGTAGCAAGTTCACTCCATAGACCAGTGTTTACAAACATGGGACAGGAAGGAGAGCAAAAGCAATTCAGAGTACAAGCTACTTGTAAAAATCCCTATTAAACTGCAAAGCAAAAAAACCCCCCAAAAAACTGACATTGAACTAAAGCATGGCTCAATAACCCCTCTCTGTTTATGGATTAAAGAGCACTGCAGAACATGCTTCTACCCTGATGCTACTTAAAACACATCATGCTAATCAACCTTTTACGAAAACCAGCACAGAGTTGACCTGAGATACTTAGTTCACAAGTTTATTATGAAAAAACACTGCAGTGTTCTCCTGCAGTAACATCATTTTACAGAAAAAAAACAGTTCTGTTCAAAATAACTCACTATGCTTGGACAATTACAAGGGACAATGAAGGAGAGGCAGAATGGGGAAGGAAAAAATGAGTGAGACAAAAATCAATACAATTAAATTAAACAGTATTCCCTGAAAAAACAAATCAGAACAGATTCAGAACACAAATAAGAGGCGGGCTTGGTACTTATTTTAAAAATGTTCATTAAGCTTCAATGATTGTTTGCTGCTATCCTTATCTACAGTCATGCTGAATAAAGCTATAGCTAAATGGAAAGTTAAATGTATTCACGAGGTGTTAATGTCTACATCTTAATATTTGCAGTCTCTCAGAGAAAGCAAAAGTAACTACAAATAGTGCTATGCCAGAAACGGGTTTCTTGACCGACAATGTTGCTTCAGCATGCAATGAACTGGTTCATTCTAAAGTGGTCACGGTTGTTGACAAGAGGCTTTGTATTTTATTATGGCACATCTTTTGGTCCATGTGAAAACGAGTTTGAATGTTAAATATTTTCTGACACTTTGGAGTTACTGTTGCTCTTCCCATTTCCTTTAGGTCAACATATGGTTCATGGCAATACTGTACAAGTGTAAAATCTTTACAGGAAGTAGTCTGGGGTGCGACGAGTAACATGTGGTTCACCTCTGCGTGGTGCTGGATCAAACTGCAAGCTGAAAGAAAACACGTTTTTATTCAAATTGCTACAGATTTTGTTGACTTGAATTCATAATTACCATATGTATACCAGATTAGCTGTCTTCCCCATAAGAATTCTGGGACTGGTGGTGTGTGTGTTTCTTAAAGAATCGCTTATTCAAGCTATGAAGGTCTTCTGAAGTGTTTTTACATTATATTCAAGTACCCTTTTCTTCAATATTAAACCCAAAGTTGGAGCCCATAGCTTAAATGGGTTTTTTCTACAGTCAATATGAACTGAGGACTGGTGAAAAAAATCCAAGGCTGCCACTAAAATGTATTCTCTACAATACCCACAAACCAGGGTGCATTTAGGAAGTCTACAAGATACCAACATCATTGCTGCAGTATGCCACACTTCCAGGTTCTCACTTGTCTTTCATATTCCAAGCATTCAGTGCTTTTCAAAATTTTTTCATTTTGGGGATCCCTATTAGATTTTGAACAGAGGTTGGAAATTCAACCTATGGTTCACGGATCCCTACCATGGAAGTTTTAGACTGACTGAACAGAATTGAACTATAAATGTTGCGTATGCTCAGCACGGCATTTGATGCAACATGAGGAAGGGCGCTAACCTGTGGGCTTCTCTGGTAACACCACCCACTTCTGGATTTTGACCTGTAAGTGGGGGTATTCACATACTTTTGATTGAGCAGAAAACTGGAATGCCTCTTCTTGGATCTGAAGCTTTACTGTCAGAGTCACCTTTTGCAGACCCCTGATATATAGTCCACAGACCTCGGGTTGAAAACCACTGTTATAACTAAATGCTTTCAATGTATAACCCCACCCTACAGAAATCAAACGTATGAAGAACTCTAATAACCTCTGATGTGGGGCAAACATTGGAAGAAATATACTTTCTGAATTTAGAACTATCAGAGAAGAGATCTGAGCTGAGCTTCAATGACAGCTTTATAAGAAAAAGGGCTAATATTCCAAAAACCAAACAAACAAAAAAATAGTTTAAAATAGTAAATATCAAGTCACGTTTTTTATATAGAGAGAGGCTGCAATATGAAGTGTTTAATTCAGTCATGTCTGAAATTTAACTTCCGGAATCAGTGTTTAACAATCCTTCTCCTTCCACATTCAAATTATCTAGTCTTAATATTCAACATTCATATAAGTGCTTTCTATTTGCACAGCTCTGTAGAGCTACTGAAGTTTAATTTTCTTTAAAGAGTTTCAGAATTGCAGTTAAGAATTAACTCTACTTGATGCCTGGACAGCCACCATTCACTATGCCCTTTTTAGATTTGGCATTTGATATTAGTCTTAACAGTTACCATACTCCTCCCCCCCACAGCAATATAAAGGGATCTATTTTTACAACTGTTTTCTTAACTACATTGCTTAATGAGAATCTGATATTTAAATACTTACAAGGAGTATTTTAGGGTATCATCAAGTTCCATGATTGCAGCCTGGTTGCCACAACGGTAACAATAGTTTGGAGCACTGAAAATTGTTACTACATTCCGATCATGGCACCAGTTGTACCCCTAAAGAGGGAAAATACAAAAATCAAATAAGTCTTTATTAAGGTGTCCTTCAAACATCCATTGTTTTTTCTCTCTGTATGCAGCTGTAAGAACTAGACAGTCTCAGTGGTTCACAGATTATGGCTCATTGAACCCTTCTAGGTAGAACATCTAAGGACATTAAAATCTAAGCAGTGAGGAATCAGAAGAAGTAGTTAATCAATACAGATTCAGCAACAACAGACAAATAGGTAATTGATTTTATTGTGTGACATTTACTCATGTCAACTGCAAAATCTTAATTTTGTAAAACTGCAATGAATTCTCAAAAGCAAGGCAGAAGATTAGTAGTTGCAATGCATTTGACTTTAGATACATTAACTATTACACAGAAGTTTAATGCTCTTCCAATTTCAGGATGAAGCTTCTGGGTGTCTTTGTCTCCTATCGGAGGAGGATGGCGTATTGCCATAGAAGCCCATTCTGAAACAGAAGCACTAGGATAATGGCATCTAAGTATCAACTGCTCAAATTGTGGGTATTTAAAACAAAACTGCACAATACTTACCTCCATTACCAGCTGATGCGCTCTTGAAACCAACGTAAGGCCATTGGCATGATTAAAAGTTTCTGAAATATCTTGCCCAAATGTATAACCAGCACCACGAGGAGAAATGCCCCAACCACCACGATCATCTGGATCTGACCACAGCAAATCACACATCGGACCCTGTAACACATTTTTAAAGTCATGAGTTTTCAGCCATATGACCTATGGGGGATATCTATCTATCTGTGTGTATATCTATCAGACTCAAGTGTTCACTTAAATGTACTAACAGCATAGTTGACACTTGGGAAACCCTGGCAACTGATTACAGTAAGTGAAGAATCTTCGTGAGGAATGGAATTGCTCTAAGAAGAGACTGGAGACCTCAGATTAAAAGGGCTTGCTATGACAGCATGGTAGTATGATCTCCTCCTCCAATTTATTCTCTAAACCACGGGCAATGGTTAAGAATAATGTATGCGTACCACTACCTTCCTTCAGACAGTCTGCAGGGACACAGACATCGTCACACTATGAATACACATGCGTCTGTCATGAACTTCATTCTTGAACTGTTTATATAAGTACACAAGGATATAAAGAAAGTATGCTGAAATGGAAAGACTTGTGTCCAAACAGCACATTTTGATAATAGATCTATCAATACCTCGTGGGGCACTTCTTGCAGGCGATCAAGTGCTCTGATGTGATCCAGTGTATCTATGGATGGTGAGAGGCCACCATGTAGGCAAAAGATCTGGAAGAGTTGTACATCTGTTAGAATCATCCAATTGATTTGCGAGTATTTTATATTAATAAACATGCTAGTAAAATATAATAGGCAGCAAGACTGCAACAGAGAAATGAGCAGTAAGGAAAGAGCTCTGAGATTTAATCTCGACTCTACACCTCTTAAAAGCAACTCCTAAAAGAAACAAAAAACCCAGCTTTTTTTAAAAACGGACTAATTTCAACATACCTGACCATCCACCAAGGCAGTTAGAGGAAGATAGTCAAAAAGGTCTGTGAAGTACTTCCAAACATTTGCATTTCCATATTTCCTTAAACATTCATCGTAGAAACCATATACTTGTGTTATCTGCCTGCTTTCATGGTTCCCCCGAAGAATTGTGATGCGTTCACGGTAACGGACCTACAACACAAAGCATTTATTATGACTATCAAGTATCACTCCCTCCCTTAAAAAAAAAAAAGTCAGTCTTCCCAGAAGGAAAAGTCAGAACCAAGGGAGAACAGGGCTAGATTATATTTTTCATGAAATGCCCAACAGAAGACAGTTATGTAGACCAGTTCTATTTCTTCAGACGTAATCTGCAGAAAGCTAAGAGTAAAAACATTTAAGCAGAAGATGTATTAATAAAAGACCTTGAGCTGCCAAAGACCTACTATGGGCCCAAACTGAGCTGAGATAAGGTCTGTGGCCACTACCATTCATGGATTTCACATAAGCTTTTATCTGCTCTCAGTTGCTTTCTCCTAGTAGCTTTCAGTTTAGTATACTATTTTCAGAAGATTTATAACCAATTAGTTTAATCCTGACTCATTAAACTTTAAAAGTTTCAGAGTAGTAGCCGTGTTAGTCTGTATTCGCAAAAAGAAAAAGGAGTACTTGTGGCACCTTAGAGACTAACCAATTTATCTGAGCATAACCTTTTGTGAGCTACAGCTCACTTCATCGGATGCATTCAGTGGAAAATACAGTGGGGAGATTTATATACATAGAGAACATGAAACAATGGGTGTTACCATACACACTGTAACCAGAGTGATCACTTAAGGTGAGCTATCACCAGCAGGAGAGCGTGGGGGGGAAGAGATGGGGACAACACCTTTTGTAGTTATAATCAAGGTGGGCCATTTCCAGCAGTTGACAAGAACGTCTGAGGAGGGGGGGAGGCAGGGGAAAATAAACATGGGGAAATAGTTTTACTGTGTGTAATGACCCATCCACTCTCAGTCTCTATTCAAGCCTAAGTTAATTGTATCCAGTTTGCAAATTAATTCCAATTCAGCAGTCTCTCGCTGGAGTCTGGTTTTGAAGTTTTTTTGTTGAAGAATTGCAACTTTTAGGTCTGTAATCGAGTGACCAGAGAGACTGAAGTGTTCTCCGACTGGTTTTTGAATGTTATAATTCTTGACGTCCGATTTGTGTCCATTTATTCTTTTACGTAGAGAGACTGTCCAGTTTGGCTAATGTACATGGCAGAGAGGTATTGCTGGCACATGATGGCATATACCACATTGGTAGATGTGCAGGTGAATGAGCCTCTGATAGTGAGCTGATGTGATTAGGCCCTATGATGGTATCCCCTGAATACATATGTGGACACAGTTTGCAATGGGCTTTGTTGCAAGGATAGGTTCCTGGATTAGTTGTTCTGTTGTGTGGTGTGTGATTGCTGGTGAGTATTTGCTTCAGGTTGGGGGGCTGTCTGTAAGCAAGGACTGGCCTGTCTCCCAAGATCTGTGAGAGTGACTCCCCCCCCCCCGGCTTTCCTGCTGGTAATAGCTCATCTTAAGTGATCACTCTCAATACAGTGCGTATGGTAACACCCATTGTTTCATGTTCTCTATGTATATAAATCTCCCCACTGTATTTTCCACTGAATGCATCCGATGAAGTGAGCTGAAACTCACAAAAGTTTAGCTCAAATAAATTTGTTAGTCTCTAAGGTGCCACAAGTACTCCTTTTCTTTTTATTAAACTTAAAAGGGAGAGCCTAAAGATACTTTAGTCAGGCCTGAAACACCTCAAGTTTTCTCCTCTACCTGTAGATAGTCTCTCCAACCTGCTTAATTCATCCCCCAGCCTTTGCCCAGCAGTGCAAGACCCACACACTTGAGAAAACTGACAATTATAAAACCAACCCTTTCAAACATGAAGTGCAAGTTACTCTAGTTAATTAATACAGCACTGGTTTTCAAGAAAATATTCTTAGAAATCACAACTTTTGCTGAGGCAGAATAGTCTAGTCTGAGCAAAGAACTGGGATTCAGGAGTTCCAGCTCTGCTGGTGACAAACTGTGGTTTTAAGGAAGTCATTTAGTCAGTGTCAGTTTCTACATCTATAAAACAGAGGTAACATCTATCAGGAGTGTTAGATGTAGAGAGTACAAAAAGTATACATTACAAAAACAGTTTTAGTAAGTTAAATATAGTCATAAATACAGAATAAATTTGAGGGGGGGAAATGTTACCTTAAGAGCTACAAGCAGTGTGACTGTTTCAACTGAGTAATATCCTCTGTCAACATAGTCCCCCATAAACAAGTAATTTGTGTCCGGTGATTTGCCTCCAATTCTGAAGAGTTCCATGAGGTCGTGAAATTGCCCGTGGACATCTCCACAGACTGTGACCGGACATCGCACTTCTTGTACATTGGATTCTTTTGTCAAAATTTCTTTAGCCTGGAATAGAATAGTTAAGAAATTGTCTACAAACAGCCATGATATTAAAGCTCTGCTCTACCATTCCCAGATCATTTACTGTATGCTCCCTTCAAGTACTTTTGCGAGGCCTTTTCAAGGCTGATCTGTCTTACCCCAAATATTTTGTTAAGTGCATATTCTTGCTTTACTATTTTTAAAGTAGTTTTAAAATAACTCAACTCAAAGTATGTCATTCTGCTTAATACTGTGTTGTTGTGGGGGGTAGGAGGGGGGGTTTGAAAGCAGACATTAAGCCTGTTCCAGCAGTTTATGCCTGAAAACTAATTGGTCCTACTATACCATAGCACCTTTTACAAGTATAGCAGCATTATCACTGCTATTACTGGTCTAGTATCAAGGAGTCTGGATTCTGCCTAACATGCAGTGTAATTTCAAGATTCTGAAACGGTATTCTTCCCTTGTTGCTTTCAAATTGTTCAGTATTGATTCGCACTGGTAAGTAGCTCATGTATTCTGCCCCCGTGAAGACAATGTCACTAGTGTAACAGTTCTCAAGCTCTGGGTTGTGACCCCAAAAGTGGGTCGTGACCCCATTTTAATGGGGTTGCCAGGCTGGCTTAGACGTGCTGGAGCCCAGGCCGAAAGCTGAAGCCTGCGCTTCAGCCCTGGGTGGCGGGTCTCAAGTTATAGGTCACCTCCCTGGGGTGGAAGCCCTTGGGCTTCTGCTTTGGACCCCTCACCGGGGCAGTGATGCTCAGGCTTTGTCCCTCCTCCCGTGGTCATATAGTAATTTTTGTTGTCAGAAGTGGGTCACGGTACAATGAAGTTTGAGAACCCCTGCACTAGTGAATTAATCGATTCCTGTTTATTATCGACTTGAACCTTCTTGGAATGCTTTGGCAATTTTTAAAAAAAGCAGTTTTATTTTAGTACTACCCTAGAAGTGAGAAGGTTGGTGGCTTTCTGAAGAAATAAAACGTGGGTCAAGTTAAAAGCATATCATATTAACACTATTTCTCACAACAAGGCTACCATACTATGGCCACTGAAAATCTAAGTTGTGTCTAATTTGGAAAAATCTTTATGGATATCAAGGAATTTAGAATAAATTCACTGAACACAAAACTATTCACTCTAATATTTAAGTCAAAATGGTTCCGCTATACACAAGATTTTATTCATCCCACAGATCTTCCAATGCATTTAAAATTAATCTACTTCCACACCCTCCTGTACTCCTATGTTGAAGACATAAAATCAAATATTTGAAAAAAGTCAATTGGTTCAACCTTTACAATTTGCAACCATTTTCCTGTCAGACGTCTTTCTAAACAAATCCAGATACTGGGTAAAACACACCACCTTTTTCTACAGAGATCATGAGCCATGAAAAAGCTCTCTAACATTTCTGATGTCATTATCGGGTTTCAGAGATATATCAACATAAATGGGTAATACATCATTGTTTCAGACTGCCTGCAGATTCAAGAACAATTTTTTTTTGCATTTAGAAAGATTTCTAACTAGAAATATACTCTAATGTGTTCTGCAAAATGTAATACTTTAGTTTTTAAAAGTAGTTTATGGAAACACACCAAATTTGTGATAACGGATTGATTTAATCAATCCCAATATTACTTACAACTAGGGGAAACTGGAATCAAAGACTTATTTCTGGCTTAATTTCCAATTTAAGTCACAAGCTCAAAAGAAGATTCTGAAAAGTGATTCCCTGTCATGTAACATCATTGGCTTCATCCCACTCAATCACTACGTATACCACCACAATGATCAAAGGAGAAGTTTTCAATTGACTACTGTGAAATATTAAGACTGACATCATGCAAGTAAGTGTGCCACTGGAGACCTTTACATGGTGCAGAGCAATGTCCACAGACAGCCTAGAACAATAGCTCAGAGAAACACAAACTATTTATCTCAATGGGTTAGTGCAGATACACTAAAATATTCATACTGTAATGGTCAGTTACTTTATTACTCATCATTTAGCAGAAACATTAAGCTTAATCAATCATTGTTGGATGCTGTGGGAGACTGGGGCAGCTACTTGGTGTTAATGGTTGCTGGGCTTAGCAGATAAATTCATAACCCTCTCTAACTTTAAAGTAATCTCTACCCTTTTTGTCCCCCCCAAAAAGAAATGCATCCCTTTGCCAATACCAAAAACTAAAGCCACCCCCAAACTTTTCCGAGCATCATAGAAAACAATATCCTACTCTCTTGACACAGTATTCTTTTAAATTTTGTGCAGTGTGTAAATATGTTAAACAATTTTCAGATCCCCCCTCCAAAACCTCCACATTCAATTACTCAGTGGCAATAAAGACAGATGAAGGTAGATCTAGGTTCTCCGCTTTATAATTTAGATCTAATGTACTGCACAGGACAAAGATTCTTGGCTACAGACCTAAAATTTAAAACAAATATGACCCAGAATTCTATTTTTCCTTCCTGGTTGTGAGGGGAAAACCCAACTCTTTCCACAGTGGAGACTATTTAAATAGAAATGCATTACTCTGATCTCTTAGGGGAAAGGATGTCAAGCAATACCCCACAGTGAAATAAAGGAATGATTCCTTCTCCATCAAAAATAATAAAATAAAATTTAAAAAAGCAGCATTACTGTATGGAAACTAGGAGGGACAGAATGTTATGTCAGTATCATAGGTATTAGGTCTGCCATTTGTATGCCCTACATAAAGGCTTCATACAAAAAGACATCAGTTCATATGAAAAGTAGTAAAATATAGCATAGAAAATCATCTTAAAGCATTCAATTCCTTGCATTAGTTTAATCAGATCTTGCTGCCAGCTGTCATAGTTTGTCCTCATTTTGGGCACAGGATATATGCCAAAAAATTTTTTTTACTTCCCAAGCCAAGGGGATATGTGCAATATAAACAGGAGCACATTTAACAAGATACTTCTCTACAAAAGACCTCCCTGATATTTCAGTTTAACTTCTGTAGCTCCAATATACTTATTTAATATGATGCATCACTACAACTAATCAGAAATGTAGAGCTACAATGACCAATCTGTATCTTGCTTTACAGTTCTGAAACAATAAATAGGCTTACAAGAATAGCCTAACTAGCAGTGACATATCTGTACACCAGCTCTGTTTCAACTCTGTTCACGGATTACTTAAAATATAAATATAATGATATTAGTTTATACTTTAAGTTGTCCATGAACAGTCTGTTTCAACTCTAATAGCTCACCTACACTTTAGGGTCAGTTTGAAGTCCTAAATAGAAAATCTGACAATCTAGACCCATGTGCCAGTTTACTTTATTTTGTCAAGCACAAAGAAGTCTTCTGAAAGCATGGTAGGTAGAACTAATTTGTGTCCATTTAAAGAGCATTAGATTTAAAGTTTAGGGAACTAGAGACATTTTCTCAAGTCAACAACCTTCATTTAATGTACTGTTTATATTCAGAAACATTGATATGAAATATGCTTCTGTATATCCAAGTTTCCACATTGTTACCATAGCTGCTAGACTGGATAATATCCAGGAACATTGAGATAACATTTCAGGTTAGTCACCATCCAGCTGATTACCTATAAAACAGAGTTTTAAACAAAGCAATGCCAGAGAGGATTAAACTTTAACTAAATATTAAAGGAAGATCTAACTCACCAGACCTCATCTAAACCCGGAAAGTAGTTAAAGGCAAAAAGGTGATAGAATTCTGTCCCTCAGGTGAGCTTTGTGTATTCCGGGATACCTTTGTCCTTAGAATATAACACGTCCATATCATGAAATTAATCCAGTTTGCAGACATTCAAACTGACATAAAAGAAACCTGGGTCAGCTGGTGGCATCTACTCATGCTGTGTCCAAGACTGAAGTCACACAAGGCTGGCGGTGGCTACTTACTGGTATGGGAACTTTAGGACAGAATTCTGGCTTAAGTTACTTTAACTCAGAGCACAGATTTTAGTCAATGTTTCAAAAATGCTAGTTGCCAAATATTGTTTTCATATTTAATTCAGTTCTTTAATATGAAATGTTTAATATGATGACAAAAAAATTTTCATTCAGAAGTGGCTCACTTGTCTTTTCCAAAAGTAACTGATTATGCATAATCATGCACAACAAACATAGGATCAAACTCAAGGAAGTTGTCATAATTGTTAATTTGAGTATTGAGAATGTTATTAGTTCAAACACTCCCTATGGTGTCTCTCTACTAACTGGATTTCTTCATTAAAAAGAGAGCATATTTCCATCAAGCCTTGCTAATCTCACTCTCAAAAACATTACCTTCACCATTATGTTAAACATCTCTCTTCCTGACTAGAGTTTAAAGTTAACATTGTAAGAACAAAAATGTGTTAAGGTGCACAAATTTGCCACTAAATGTCCTTAGGAATAATTTCAGCTGTAATAGAATGTGTAAGCAGTTTTACGCAAAAATAGCACAAGTGCTACAAAGAAGATCCTGCTAAGAACTTTTCATCCAAGGTTAACATCACTTTACATCAAAGTTGCACATACCTCTTTGTTGTCCCTATCTTTATGAGATAAAAATCACTTTCAAATATTAAACTCACCCTTAGTCAACTTTTCAAAGACCCATATTTGTTTAATCTTAAGAGCACATACCCATACTTTTTTAACAATAGCTATGTTTTCCAGTCTTAAAGCCACAACACAGAGGTACAGATTTCAAGAATATGAAAAGAATTAAAGATTTCAAGATGAACACAGATTTTATGAAAAACCTATGCTGAAGCAATAGTCTTGGACAGAAGTACACTGCTACAGAAAATATTTGTATTTCCACTTTAAAGAGAAGAGGCAGAGGGAGAAGTCACCAAAACATGATGTAATGTAGGCTGTTAATGGAGAATTCCACCCGTTTTACTCAGCAGGGCAATCCAAAAGCTCAAGACATAAGCAGCACTTATCAAATACACTTCAGATTAGTCATAGTGTGACTAAAGTTCATTTACAATTGGCATTTGAGTTGTCTGCTTACCCAGC